CAGGTGCTATAGATAAGGTAAAATCATTATTAGTTTATTAATTTGAAAATATAGTATCTACTATAGTCTATAGCAGAGGTCTCAAATATGTAGCCAGGAAACCCTTTCAGTGAGGTCCACAAGAAACATTTATTTTTTCAAAAATGTTGCAAATAAAAAAAAATAATAATGAAAAAAAACAATCAATGTGTACATCTTTGTAATACAGTTATATAATAATAATTATAATCAATTGAAGGAATAAATATTGTCTTAATTTATTTAGTATTAATATGTGTGAAAAAAAGATGTTTTGCCAGAGATACTTTTATGTATAAATATGTGGCCCGTTGGTTATTAAAGTTTGAGACCACTGGTCTATAGATGTTAAATTTATTTGAAACAGTATGATCGGCAAGAGTTTAGGAAACTAGCATTAATGTGTAATGTTGCTATTCAATGTTTCAAAAAATGTAATTGATGTATTACTTGAAATCTTAAATTTTATTAAGAAGATCCTCATGTGTTGTCTCTGCCTTGCAAATGTAAAACATGGCAAAAACTGTTTAGCGCAGGAAAGAACAGAGAAGGTTACAATTTTTTAACTAAGAAACCAAATTTTCATTATGAATGGAGGAGAATTTTGACTGTGTCATTGAGTTTTTGTTTTTTTTCGATAAGACCAATATCACAAAAGTTATTTAAGTTTGGAAAAAGTAAAAATATCAGATTTTTAAAAGTATTATAACTTTTTTCTTATTAATGATATCAAACAAATAAAAAAGCTACAACACAGAAAATATTATCTTCTATACTGCATACACTTTTGGCTACTCTACTAGGGCTACAGACTGAGTGGTTTTATTATGCGCAAAACATTTTTGCCATGTTGTATGTATTTTGTAAGACAAACACAACACATGCAGGCTTAACGTCCTCTTAATTCATGTGACATTATTTGTAGGATTAAACACATCTTTAATTTAATTTTGAATCAATCTTTGCCTGCAAGAAATAGGTTCAATAGATTTTACCCGAATATCAGCACAATAGCTATAAGAAAAAAAAATATTATTACTTAATTGGTAGCATATCTATCTTAAGAAAAGGTTGACGGTAAAAACCATATTGTAACACTATTACTACGGTTACACAGCTAAAACCAATTCAACTCAATTCGAATTGGTTAACTTCCAAAATTAAATGCATGTAAATGGCTGTTAATTTAGTTTTGATTCGGTTTACCTAAAACGGTTTAGTTAATTCATATTTAAAATGTGCATTCGAAATAACTACGAAGTACAAAATGAATGTTAAAGAATAACACTACAACATCTGAATGAGATTATTAATTCAAATTAGGGTAAATCGGTTTACAGTTTAAAGTGTACATGTAAACTTTGCAAAGTAAATTAATTTGGTGGAAGTGTATTATACTAATGCAGTTTTAGACTTGCATGTATACTTGTACCCTAATTTGAATTGATTCAATACGAATCAAGTTAATTTGAATTAAGGGATGCATACAAACAAGGTATTTCATAAAATTGTTATTGTATAATATCTATAAGACAGAGATGGCGAACCTATGACACTTTTAAACTTTTTTAGTGACACACTCAGCTTGTTTTTTATCATTGAAGCCATGGATGCAGGATTTTTTTGCAAAGTTTAAAAATAAGGTCATCGAATTATTTGAAACACAGGTAAAATAAAATCCATCCAACATTTTTAATTGACACATGTGTACAAAATGGTTCGACATCGCTGCTACACGATAAGTCACTTTATAATATTATGTAAATAAGCTTCTTACTTTTTAGATAAACCTTCCCCGTTTGACGTTGAAAAACACAAAATTTCGATAAAAGTAAGCAACAATCAGCGATCACACGATGATCTAAAAATTAAAAAAGGGGTTTTGGACACTTAAGCATATTATACAATATGATAACGGCCATTAGACATTATCACACGATCTCAAAAAAAATTACCGAAGTCAAAGAATAAACATACAATATAGCTCTTGCTTTTTTGTTTCAGTATCATCTACGGGCGGCTGTCGTGATATCAATTACAAGCACATTGGTGAGACTGAATATTTCTTCAGCTCTTTGGGAACAGGGCACCTGTCCTTTAAATGTTATACGCACGGGCGTGGTTAGGCTATGATAAAAACAACGATTTTGTGAATTTTGTGGGTGTGGAAAATGATAATATGATATTTTATCCTCACCATAAGTTGGAAATTAATCCAAAAAACTCGTTACATAGGTACAATATTTGTAATAACACATCAATAATATTATGTACTCGGATTAGTCGACACAACTGTTAACATACTCTTATCATTGTACTAATGAGTAATGCATTATATCATTAAACATTTTTATTTTATATACTCATGTCTCATATTATGTGCTATGTTGTTTAAAGAATTTATAATATTATTATGAATAGCATGATAAAGATTCAATAAAATTACGAACGTACACAAAACACAACTGTGTTCTATCATTTTGCAAAACACTTGTTACGGAAACCGCCACCGTCCTTCACCACTACCTACCATCAAAATATATCGACACAAAACAGTCGCTTATATTGTAGACTGCGTCGACGCGATATTTGAAAAAGCAAATGGGCGGAAGGAATGCTTTATTCCTGTGGATTAACCTAGATTATTCTCTAAGGTATCTCGTCGGCTTTTTATTATATTTTAATTTTAAAACGAGTTATCAGTATTTTAGTATGTACAGACTATTTACAATTTTAAAATACTCATACATCGCCTTGAAATTAAAATATGATAAAAAGCCTAGATGCTCTAGATAATAATCTCACCTTTAAATTGTTTAATACTTCAGTCAATTCAATTCACTCTAGATTTTAAGCTAAACGTGACCTGCTGAGCGTAATATTTGCAATGATAAGCACTTGTAAGACGGAGACGACAAAATGTCCATGTAGCGTCCTTTTAAATATTACGAGTAACCTAATATACTAGTACCTGTTCTAAATTCTATTCACACCATAATTTACATTATACCATAGAATAAATAAATTTTTAATAATTAATTAAATATTAGGTAAAATAATTATTTTATATTTTCAAAATGTACTAGCATCAAAATAAATGATAAGAATGATAACGAATTACCTATACGAAAATATTTGTAATCTGTATAATGTCAACTTTGAAATAATATTTTGTTTTTATGGATTTGATTTGTATATGTAAAATAACAAATAGGTAGTTATTTTAATTTAATATACATAAGTAAAAGATAATAGCTTGATTGGTTGATCGGAGTTTATTATGGATTCTCGGGAATAAAATGGCAATGACAAACATAGATACACATTAATTAAATATATATAAAATATATTTTTTTTAGAATAATAGAAAATGAAAAATCATACCTAAACTATTCGAGAATGGATCCAGAATTCTATCTTGGTGTGCAATATTATATTGTATAATACTTTAATATGATCTAAGACAGCCATATGCCTTTTACAACTAAACAATGTGCATAACAACAACATAACAGTTGCCGGTAAAACATCTCGCAGTGATGTAGGCTGTCTTGAGTCTGGAAGACAAAATATAATAATCTATATATCTATCCGTACTACCCTAATACTACATATTAACTCAGTAACCGAAAAGCGTCTTTTGCTGTTTTCCATACTCTCATTGCTTGTCTAGTAGTATAAGGTCTATAAAAGCAGCAAACAAAAATTAAGATTTTCAAGTGAAAATGTTGAAGTGTATTAACACAATACCGAGAGTTTAATAAGTTTCATATTATTATTTATTGTGCAGTCCTGCAGTATACCAGCAAAATGTATCGACTAGAATCTGACTCTGAATTGGATATGAATTGTTGCATATCAAATTTTTTTATCGTGAAAGTCATGGTTCTTGTTTGCTGCCTTCATAGACCTTATACTATTATAGACAAATAATGAGTGAAATCACGGACAATAATTTAAACATGTTGGCATGTTGCGGGTTAATTATGTAAAAGACTTAAGCTTTACTAAAATAAGCATTTATAAATTAAAATTAATTTGAGCTTTATTATTGATTTTTGGGTGACCATTTTACGGTTTGCTTCTGGTAAATTTCTACAAATATATATTAAAAGAAATTTTTTTTATAAACTGTTAAATGATAATATTATAAAACAAAGGAACGTAACAACAGTATGTCTGAAGCAGCAAAAGAGTAGGGTAAAATAAATACAATAATACACACATTTAAAAGTTGATGCAATTACAATTTGTAAAAATTAAATTACCTTAAATAACATAAATAATAAATATTCAACAATCAATTGATTCTATTGATATTATTTTTATTTAAAAAGAATAATTACTTTAGTTAATTTCTTTATTTTAAATGTTTAGTAAATAAAATCATGGTAATTAAACTGTAAACAAAAATTATGCATCTAATTATTAAATCATATTTTGAAAGAAAAAACGTGTTCTTTACAGTTATAAATGTCTATAATTAAAAGTAATTAATGCAAAATATTTGTATTAACTTGAAAATTACAACACACGAAAAAAAATTCTCTTTCCTGTCACATCTTACAATATTGTATCAGAGTACAAAATACGATTAATATCATAACTCAATATTGGATTAACCATTGAACAAAATACTGTAGGAAAACAAACTTAAATATTGTATTACTTACATCTTTAATAATTGGATGATTATTATTTGAAGGTTACTATACTCTGTTCAAAACGAAATCATTACCCGGCGGCAAAAAGTTTTTGGTAGGCGGCAGTCAGACACTTCTCCTATCAAGACGATGGGTGAGGCCAGTACTTCGGAACTCAACCACACCTATCCACACAACATGGCCGCCGGGCAATGATCTCATTTTGAACATAGTATAGTCATTTTTATAGAAATTATAATGTTTTGGACAATTAATTAAACATTTATTTGATTTTTACAGTAAGTATTTATTACAAACTATGAGTGTTAACTATATTAATCCAAAAAATATTAAATACATGAAAAATATTAAAAAATAAAATATAAGGTGTTTGACATTTATTTAGTTTACATTCTTTAATTTGATGGTTGGGAATTCAGTTTTAGTTTAATATACTGTTGAATAATCAATTAAATTAATTTAAATGAATAACAGATGAAGGAGAATCAATTTTTTAATTAGGGTTTTTACCTTTACTTTATTGTTTACAAATATTACGTTTCATATGATAACCATTTATTTCATAGCAAATTTCAATGTCATCACCATTGACCATACCTAGCTTTTCTGGTGTATCGTCATCAATGATTCGATAACCATTGAACATAAAACGCAAACGATGAACATTCGTACCCAACTTGTTGCTGTAAGAGCGTTTCAAACGGACCAAAGATGTGGTCGGTTTTAAGCGGTATTTTAATTCGTTGAACAAATCTCTGTTAATTACGCGTAGAGAAATGTATTGATTAGACACCGTAGCTGTATCCCCGGAATTGGCAACGGAATTGGCATCAGCTTCCTGAGACGTAGGCTTCTCAATGTTGATCGTTGCAGGTAAAGAGTTGGATGCTTCTGGATCACCTGACATTTTTCTATAATAAAATTACAATCAATAATTAATATAAAAATAAATATAGGTAAATATAGGTGAGCATAGACAAATATTAAAATATTAAAGATATTCTACTAAGGAATATAATATTTAAGCTTTAAAATTAAAAAAATGTATAGTTAAGTAGGTCTTTTTTTAAATACAAAGTATCTGTATACAAATTTTAAAAGACATCTTTTTTTTTCTCTCTAACCCAAGCAAACATAACAAATATTACGTTCACAATAATGATTATACACAACATTTTTAAAATTAGAGTGAAATAACCTCTTATAATATTTAATGGTAAGATTATTATCCAGCCATCCAGAGCAGCATCTCATAAGCTTTTTATTATATTTTAATGTTAAGGTGGGTTATGAGTACTTATTTTAAAATGTACTAAACAATTTACAATTTTAAAAAACTCTCTATAAGAAGTCATTTCATTCTTATTTTAGAAATTATTAAGATTATAATCATTACTGTTTACATAATATAATTGTTGGGCATGGCTCAGAGAAAAAAAAAATGCATGATATCCTCTTAAAATTCAAATTAAAAGTTTAATCGACTAAAAATGTCGTTCAAAATGGCTATATACCGGTAAATTTCTGTTTTACTGAACATCCTTATTTTTGTTTAGACATATGTAGAAAACGATGGCGAGGTCAGAATTTTCACACTGACACAGTTTTGAAGTTATGGCTATTTGAAGTCAGAGACCCACCCAAGGTGGTTTTACATAAAAAGTCTAGCAACGTTTTAGATTTTAATTGTTTCGAGCAAGCACAGGGACCAAATGACCACGGCAGATGTACTTAAATATACTATACATTTCAATTAGCTATAACTATAAAACTAAGTCCAATCACACCATCGATTTTAGCATGCTAACTGCATACGTGAAAACAAAAACAAATTTTAAAAAAGGGTGTAGGGTAAAACAGAACAGTTTCAATATACATACATGGCAGTTCCAACAAAATTACTAAACGCTTCAAAATCGACGTTGACACTGGATGCACAATTCAAAAAATATTTACATGGACGATTTACAACAGTATGTGTACACGATACACTACTACAGAGTCCAGACGCTTTATCAACAACGCAATAATGCATAAACGCCATAAACATGCTGCCAAATACGTAAACAAAGAAGACAAAGACAGGTGCCCGCAAGTTACACCAGATGACACATTGCCACCCTGCCAACAGTGCCACTATTGTTCGATGGTGCAATTGCACTCTGCCCATAGTGCCACTTTAGTTCGATGGTACAACTGCACCCTGCCCATAGTGCTAGTAGTGCCACTTTAGTTTGATGGCACAGCCGGTAGGTCACGCACTCGCGCGTCCTCGATCCCTTAAAAAGTAAGCCGTTGTGAATTTATAAAATTAGGTGTACTAAACCGATTCAAAAATGCGCCACACCGGTTTGGTTTTATTGGACCATCATAACGAGTTGGTCGAGTATTACCGATCGAGATTTTTCCTCACCTTGTTTTAATAATTTCCCTCAATTGGTATTCTTTTATCACATATTACATGTTATCAGTTATCACTTATAAATTATATTTAATTTGAAATTTACATATTAAATTAAAATATTATAAGTATTTTAATTCGTAATGAGTATTATAGTATTATAAGTTATATCATTAAGATTTTAGAGTAAGCATGTTGTAAGTAGTAGTAATTAACTTAATACTCTAATTAGTCTCTAGTTTAGTAGTTTATGTTTAGCAATGCCGTATTTGAACATTTTACGCCCCGAGGCAACATGTTTTTGAAGAAAAGAAATTCACATAAATCGCTTGGAACTTGGAAGGTAAACTGCATTCGTTCTATTATTTCATATTTTAGTTATTCCTTAAACCTCTAGGAAAACCAATGTTAAATAAAAAAATTATAGTTTTTACAAATAAAAATTATAAGTAAAACGAAATTTAACACATTTCTTTAAAAGTTTAATGTTTTTTTTTTCTTATTGTAAAATAATTTTATATATTAAAGGTATTGAAGGAATCAAGTAGTTATATGGAGAATGATTAATATGACACACTAGGGAAATATGACACTTTGATGTTTCAACAAGAAATACTAATTTTTAGATCCAAGTATTTTTCAACTATGTATGACTTATGAGCTCCATCATTGTAGCTCAAAAAAAAAATTGTATTTTGTGTGATATAGGTATGTACATTATTTTTTTTATCAATCTGAATATTTAATTTTTGTCGTACCTAAGATTGTATATTTTGAGTTGCATAAATAAAAGTGAGTTATACTATATTTCTGTCATAAATTAACTTAATTCTAGTACTTTTGCAAAGAAACTTAAATAAAATATGAAGTACCCAGGACAAATGACGTAGCAATAGGTAGTTTGTTTTTATTAAGCTTTGTTAATTACTGTTAAATCTTGTTAAACTATGTGATTATATATATCGGTGTTAAGTTGTTATAATTAAAATATTACACAGGTAGTTGAAATTATATAATGAATTTATTTTAAAAAGAGAAATTTCAATTTTTTCTATATGGTTGCATATATACAAGCGTGTGTATGTAATTTTACCTGAGCACCCGGGTAAATGACATATTACTAACATGTTATTGTTGAGTTAGAGATGCGTCCAAGGTATCTGGAAGTGGTAATATAAAATAACAGTACTACGATCTTATGGAAAATGCCATATCACCAACAACAAGACAAGCTATTTCTCCACCCAGAGGTAATTAACAATTTAAATAATAATAAGTTAAAATTAACAGTTTGAGCTAAAATTATATGTTTTAAATATTTAATCATTTATTATTACAACTTGTATAGATCTATTGCACAAAAAATCTGAAGTTTCAGTACACAAAATATTTGTAAGTTCAATTCATGAGTGATCTGTAAGCTTGATGCATGAATCAATTGATTCTCCAACTTCTGGGTTAGTGCAAAAAACATTATTAAATGAAAAAACTAGCAATAAAACACCTTCTTGGCTTAAAAAATGAACAGTTGAAATTCGCAAAAGACAATGTGAATCAACTCAACGGTCGGTTAGTAAATAAGTATTAGATACCCATTTTAATTATTTCTTATTATTCAGCAATTAAATATTTTAAATAACATATTTTATGCCATTTAACAAACATTTAACTATTAGCAAGAGTAATGAACTCTGTGCTTTTTAGCATCACATTAGTACATTAGTTTATTAATTTATATGGATGAAAAAATAAGTATTAATGATTTGTTTTAGTCTTGACAAGTTGGAAAAAGAGAAGAGCAAACGTTACAAGTTCAAGAAGAACTGGTCAACAAATTCCAAGATGCTAATAATATTGAACTTCAAAAACTTAATGTTTTTAAAAAAATGTTAAGCATTGATTAGTGAGATAGTTTGGGTTTTTTATTTTATAATCATAAGTTAATTTCAGTTTTTTTTATTTGTATTTCTTACAGACAGTAGGCTACAGTTAATTAATATAATTTTTTGTTTTTCATATTATTTTTTGTTGAACATAACTATTACTATTACCCATACATAATATTAATTCTGTTATATTAATTTTAAATATCTTCATTATCATGAAGGAAACTTGAAAAGACTGTTTTAAATTAGAGTTAAAACTTTAATTGTTTGTTTTTGTATCATTTTACTTTGCTATACCTTTATTATACAATTAAAGTAAAATTTTATTCTTAATTGTTGTGTACATTGACTAACTTAAATTATATTAAGACAATATAACTATATTTGTTTTTTATACATTGGCAATGTACCGCAAATAAAATTTCTTTTCGTTGAACTATCATTAGTTTCTACATCTCTCATTTCCTGCATAACTTCTGTTTGAAAATTATAAGCGACTTCAATTTCATCGCTGTTTGTTATGCATAATATGTTATGCAAACGACATGCTGCAATAATGATTTTATCTCAATAATCTTTCTTATAAATGTCCATATGTCTAGTTTTTAATTTTAAAAATTATGAATTAAAAAATGAAAATTTAAATAAACAAAATTTGAAAATCTTACTTGAGCTTTCTAAATCTACAAATCAACTTGCCAAATGCTTGCTCGATTAATACTCTACTACTACTTAGTTTCCGGTTGAAATTTGTTTCTTTAAGACTTAAATTACCATTATCTTTGTCTTTAGTTATAAGACCCTTTGTTAGAGAATAGGCACCGTCACCTATGTGACAAAATTTTGGAAACAAATACAATGGATTGTTGAGGATTTATTGGCCAATTTGACTCAAAAAAAAAAAAATTTGAGCGTTGTGAGAACGCCCTGGCCAACCAGCAATTAATACATCTATAAATGTTAATTCTGCTTCAACGATTCCCTAAATAAAAAGGAAATAGTTACGTTTACCTTATTTTGTTTTTTAAGAACATTTATAATAACTAATAAGTTTAAATTTATTTTGTATTGTATTAATTCAACGATTTCAATAAAAAAATGTATTATTCAACAGATTTAGATTTTAATTAGCTAAGTAAAAAAATATTGGATTATAGATTCTAAAATGAGTGACTTCTAAATTTAATTTTCTTTATTATAAACTTGAATAATATAGAACCATAATAGGTAACGTATATACGTAGAGTAGCTCTTAAGAAGTGGACACTCACTTGCAAAATAACTGATAGCACTTGTTCCGTTTAAAAATTTACAAAATATATTTCTGTCTAATTTAGGCATTTTAGACCTTTTCCCCATGGATATAGGTTGATGACAGCCATCAATGCACCCAAATATATTAGGGAATGAGTTCATACCTTTAAGCTTATTAAAGTTCTGTACATTTTTAAGAGCAGCATTTTCTGTAGGCCATACAATTATACTTCCAGCAACATTATTCATAGCCAACAAACAATTAATTATTATTGAATGGCTTGTACTATCCGCAATATTGAACCGATTACTAATTTCTCTAAAATGTATACATTAATATTTAATGGTAGTTTCAAACTTGGGTATAAGGTTAAAAGTTTATTAGAGCTACATTAGATACATCTGAAAGTTATTGACAAGACTGCCTATGAATAACATCATTTTTTCATCACTTTTAAGTTTGGGTACTAGCACAAACTAACATCTTATTACTCATGGGTACTAGGTATCACTCCTTGAATTGTTTGAAATATTGAAATAAATTTAACGAATAGCACTAAGCACTGACGTATAGGAAGAAGTGTTAAGGTGTTTATTAATGAAAAGTGTTGGGGCTGCAACTTTTTAAAAGTATTTCTCGTTAAATTTCAGATACCAGATACATCGTTTTTTCAAAATGTACTGAATAATGAACATTTATAATATCCTATGTATAAATTGAATGGTTTTTGTTACATTACATAAAATGTTTTCATTACTGAACATAATTTAACCTTTGATCACTGCTCGTCGCAGTGTTCGTTTTTCGTAATAACATATTTTATTATTTTATTAATCTCAGACCTCAGTACACTGTGCACTACGATAAGATGTGTGTGTGTGTGTGATATTGATATTATTTATGTTGCTGCATTTCGGGCGGCAACAAATATATTATACTATACTTAATATCAATAATATTATTAATTTTTATTTGTCTAAGTGTTTTATTTTATGCATTGTAATGATGATAAAATACAAGATTGAAATACATTTTATACAATAATATAAAATATCTAGTAAAAAAAATTTTTTTACATACCCGAGGCATTTAATAAACTAGATATTTCTGTGCATAATTTTTCCTAAATATCTATATTTTTATGTTGTTTATCTTTATAGTTATAAATGGATGATCTTCGTTGGACTATGTTATTAATGTTTCTAAATCAAAAGTTTCAGCTGCCATGTTGTAGCCTTTCTGGCGTCTTAAAGTTAAAATAAAATAAGAATTATATATATTTTTTATTTTTTTTTATAAATATACGCTATGTATACAAGTGTATCAAAATATGGTTAGGCCTGTAGTTTTTACGTATTCTACAGAGGTAGAAATAATCTTTATAAATACATTTTGACTTTGCAGTTTTATAAATAAATACAACTTAAAATTAAAATAATATATTTTATTTATATCAGTCAAATGTTATTGTTGAATGTAAACAACACACTCTGTATTATACAGTGATGTTCCCATCATTTTGTATGAGAGTATACTACGCTGAAGAACGCCAAAATATAGGTATTTCATTATTTTTACGATAAAAGTGGTGGAGAGGTTTAA